TGGTTGATTATCAGGCTTGGCTTTAATATACACAGTTTGAAGACCTGAGTCACCTTTCGTTTCAACGTATTGTTGGGCCAAAAAATCATCAGTCTGGTAGAGCGCTATGTGAATCTTATATTTAAAACACTTGATCTTTGGCCTTCTTTTTAAAGTTTAATTAAGAATTTGTGTTTCTTTACTATAGATAAAAAACAAAGGTGTCGCAACCTTTATCAATTTTATTATAAAAAATCATCCTTATAGAGGTTTCCCATAGCTTCTGCGCTACTCCTCAACTTTAAATGTATGCATTTGATATAAGCAACCCAACTGAGTAATTTGTATGCAGAACAAGAGATTTTACTGTAGGTTTTTGGATTTTACTGATAAATATCGTATTTCACCAACACTGCTCAAAACTATTAAGGAATAACCGAAATGTTCTATATTCTAGCAATTACAATGCACAACTACTGTTATTGAACAATGTGAACGGAACCCTTCAGCTCATTCTTATTCAAAACAAATGCCAGGTGGCCAGTAATGCGATCTAATACGCACATTTCAGTGGCATGTAAAAGAGAAGGGAAAAAAGTCTGTTTTTATTTTGCAATTTTAAAAACAGCAGAGTGCATACAGAAATCTTGATTGATAGCGAACCATGGTGGCACTCCTAAGAAGGCATGTGAACATTTTCATGACGAGGAAAGCAGTAAGTTGGCTAAAAGCTGCTCAGATATAACAAGTTGTTGCAGATTGGCCAGCGGGATGTGGATTCGCTTTTAGACCACCATTTCAGTTGGATGGAAACCTGGACAGGATGGACCATTTCGACAACCTCGTAATTGAACAGCTTCCTCACTAAACCAAGAATTCAGAATAGCGATTGAACGAAAGTTAACATGCAAATGACCAGCTTAGCCTACATACTAGACTAACCAGTTTAGTCTATATACTAGTAGTGTGCATTAGTCTAATAAATCTCCATAAAACAGCCTGTTTGTAGTGATATCAGTACATACAACATGTAGGCGAACGTCTTGTTCACAGACGAATCAGACTCCACACTGAGAGCAGATACGAGGTATGTACACATTTGAAAAGTGATCTGGACCAGATTGCTCAGATTAAAACCCAATTTGACCGAAGAAAGACACGCATATGGTAGTAGTGGTATACTGGTCAAAGTAGGGATCAGCATTGGTCGTAACACCAACCTTATGTGCCAAGACCTAGCATTGAGTCTATACAGTATAGGGATTCAGTACCATAATTATTAGTTGTTGTCATATGCAACTGCAATTGGCCAAAGTTTTCGTTTAAAAGTACATCTTCTCCACTCTGCTTTGCTGGCTATTTTGAACTGAACGGGTATGGAATGCTCCGAAGAGGCGTTTGATAGCACGTGACTCACTTCAAGAATTCATGATGAAGTTGAACCAGTTCTAATAGACGAATGAGAAATACTATCCCAGCAGCTCGTTGATTTACTGGTTTGGAGCATTTATGTTCCTTGTGTTAATGTGAAGGTGATCATACACCGTATTAGCAAACGTCCTTTGACGATTTATTCATCTACAAAGTCTGTAATACTAAATGGTCATTTGTGGACATGAACTCGAATAATATACATATGCATATAAAATCATGTAAGTGTCGTATGACACTTGTTTAGCATTAAGGACGCTGGTAACATTACCTAATAACATTAGCTGTGTTTTATAACTACGATATAGAAGACGCAGATTATCTATTTATTTGTTTGAATAGTGTTTTGTGGAAAATATTTTCAAAATTTCACTTAATCTTTTACAATTCAAGAATAGCTACTAAAATGATAAGTAACGAGAAAATATCGAGTGCATCAACGACATTAACCTAAACAAATTAAACCTTGATAAGTAGGCGCAGATAGCCTCGTTGCATTGCGCCATTAACCTCATAACAACCAGCCAACCAACTTAATGGGTATTTCGAATTTATGTTAATAGATTTAATAGACTATAGTAGTTCCAGTAAAGCCGAGCAAGCCTAACAACATGCGATTGCCACTGTAACTCGAGTTGTGCAAATTCATAAGTAGTTATAATCCTGTACAGAGCGATGTCCATGATCTATGATAATGATACAAGGATGGATGCCTAGACCTTACGGCTCCTTTATTCGCTATCCATGGTGGGTGTTATATGGGATGGCTTTAGTTATGGTTGGACTATTGCTCTACAGAGTAAGCTTTTGTACAATACGCTGAAGTCAATGTTCTCCCTCTTTCTCGTTAAATGCTTTCCAAGTTCCATTAACCGTGCGTGGATGATAATGCTGTAATATTTATGAATAAATATCCAGTTATTTAAAAACAGACACTGTTATTGTTAAATTTATCTTCTACGCAAAGCAAGGAAATCTGTACATCCTTATTGCCGTTTTTGATGCATTGAAAGATCTATAAATGGTTGGATCACTTTAGTTTGTGTAATAAATATGTCATACTTATTTTTACTTGAACATAGGTATATAACAAACTGGCTGTATGCAACAAAATGTGTACACAAAACTTACAACCATTTGTATTGGGATTTCGTTTTATAAGATACCCCCTACGCTTTCTAAACATTAAAACGAAATAATAAAGAAATAAATATACTCCTACGTTGATATCCTTTTATGGTTGAATTCATGTTCATTAGTTACTCAGTCTGGAACCTAGTTAAGCGTTTAGCTGTATTGCAATAACTTGATGTATAGAAACATGTGAATAAAGAAAGTAACCAATAACACGTTCTCGCCTATAACATAAGAGTGGTTCTGTACTATATTTAAATAATTTGTCTTAGTGAAGTTACAGGACTTTTAGCCTTGATATAATGTATTCAAATTGTAAGCAGTAAGATTACTAATGCCAATATTGTGTCACTGGATTTATTTCCGATTACTAACAGGAACAGTTAAAAAGACGAAAAAAATCATATATTCTAAAGTACCGTTTCTCAGTGTTCTTTGAAAAAACATTTAAATATTTAACCTCAAACGATGTTTTTTGTGAACATATTATCTCCACGTTGCCAAGTGATACTTTTCAATAGTTATTTCCAGTTACTATAACTTATATTTAACAATATTGTTGCTTCTCTGCCCATATCATGATTTCCAGGCATTTTCATCATTATTCACGACACTACGTCCACTTTCACGTCATTTTCTGTAGTATGTCG